TAGAATAATCTTAAACTGCACAAAAATTCGTCAATGTTTGTATCGAATATGATCAAAAAGGACATCTTGTCTATCCAATTTTTTTAAAGTAACCAAACTGGATTATTTTTGTATAAAGCAAAGATATCGGAAAGTTCTCAAAATCATTTTTCTCTGGTGGTCCTTGAAGAAAATCTTCTGTTCCTAACTATTATTTCTATTGCAAAATTTCGATGGTCAAAACCTTCAGACCACCACTTTTCAAAAATTTTCATTGTATATGTATCAATATGCAAGTATACAATGTATACCAGACATTTCTCAGACTGTTTTTTCTTTCTTTTTTTTTTTTTTTTAATAAATCCATTGGTAGTGTACTGATTGATACTTCAGTCTGGGAGAACAAGATTTATTTCAGGACTAGTTGTTATTAGCATTGAACAAATTTCCAGTAATTGCAAATACTCTTATTTCGGTGTTTTGTGTCTATTGTCTATATATAAGTTTTTTTGTGTGTGTCTCGTACCGATCTTTTGAGTTAATCTAATTGCAATTGATTTGTGCAGGTTGTTCTTATATTGTACAGTTACACCAATGTCCCAGCTTTCGGGAAGGGTTGAGCGCTCGTAAACATGTTCTTGTACTGTTACACCACTGTCCCAGGCTAGAGGGGGGGGGGGGGGGGTTGGGGGGTTGGATCCCGCTAACATGTTTAACCCCGCCACATTCTGTATGTATGTGCCTATCCCAAGTCAGGAGCCTGTTATTTAGTGGTTGTCGTTTGTTGCTGTGTTACATATTTGTTTTTCGTTCATTTTTTGTACATTAATTAGACCCGTTTAGTTTTCTCGTTTGAATTGTTTTACATTTGTGATTTCGGGGCCTTTTATAGCTGACTATGCGGTATGGGCTTTGCTTATTGTTGAAGGCCGTACGGTGACATATAGCTATTACTTGCTATGTCATTTGGTCTCTTGTGGAGGGTTGTCTCATTTGCAATCTTCGTTTTTATATCAACCCTGCCATATTCTTTGTGTGCCTGTCCCAAGTCAGGAGCCTATAGTTTAGTGGTTGTCGTTGGTATGCCTCGACTCATATTTGATATTTTGTAAATTATTTTGTTATGTATAATTAGGCCGTTATTTTTTTCGTTTGAATTGTTTCTCACATTTTTCACGTCGGGCCTTTTATAGACGACTTTTAATACAGTATCGGGTTTTGTCATTGTTGAAGGCCTTAATTACGGTTGCCTATAATTGCTTACATCCACTTCATATTTGAACTCCGGTGGATAGTTGTCTCATTAGCAATCATAAATCTCTTCGTTTTTATATTATATACCTGACTTTTAAACTCGTGTTTTCCTGAACCGAGTCCTGAACATTTATGACATATTTTTCACTGGGCGTTAAAAATTAGCAACAAACAATCAATCAATTTAAACTTGTGTTAAATAAGATGAAAAACCATTTGATATTTATTCATTTATTGGGGTGGGGGACAGGAGGATTTCATATATGAATATGGTTGCCTGGTAAGAGATGAAAAATAGGCATAATTAGCGGCAGATTAAAAAAGTTAATAATGCCATCTTCCCTTCCCCATCCTTCATCTATAAATTTAAACTGACCACCACGGAATAGCCCAACTTAGTGTTGAAATTAGCGTTAAACACCAATAAATCAAAATCCCTTCCCTAGAATATCAAATAGTCGTCCCTTAACTGTTATTGTCCGTGTAGTTCTTATATTTTTCCAGTTTATCGTCCTACAGGGATGTCATACTAAGACTGTCATACCATAAAAACGTTTATATAACACAGCTCACATTCTAATATATCTGCATTCATAAATTTATTAATGTCATTTAGACTAAACGACGCCATGTTTGTTATGTGACTCTGCCGTCTAAACTACCTATCAAAAAAGAAGAGGTGGAAGAGAGCCAGAAGATCTTCCCTATTAAAATCAAAGTACTGCAGTACTGCCGGAACATTGGATGACCGCAAGTTCTTGTGGATGGTCAAAAGCACATGTCACAGAAAAAGAACACATCTCTATACTTGAAACCTGAGACTACTATAACAAATTTGCCAACAATTTTAGTGTAATAAACTTCATTGGAAATTTGCCAATATAAAATTTTGCTGATGAAGGTTTTTTGTTTACCTTTAGCCTTGACTATGAAGTCATTTTCTATTTTTATAGCCTTATGATGTAGTTGAATTATTTAATACTTTTATGATGTGTTTAAATGGGGTTTTATCATGTTTATGGTTGCAAATTTATTGTTTTAGTATAATAAACTCCATTTAAAATTTTCCAATAAAAAAAATTTTTGTTTATTTTTAGCTATGATTATGATGTCATTTTCTATTTTACTTTTATGGTTGCAAAGAAATTTTTATTTTTAGATATTACTGTTAAATGATGCTGATTAAGGTTTTTGCTATGTTTAGCCATGACTATGATGTCATTTTCTATTTTAATATCTGTTATGATGTATTTAAATGGGCTTTTATGGTTACAAAGGAATTTTATTTTTAGATATTACTATAAAATGTTGCTGATGCTGATTAAAGATTTTGTTTATTTTTAGCCATGACTATGATGTCATTTTCTATTTTAATACCTTTATGATGTAATTTCCATTTTTAGATATTACTGTTAAATGATGCTGATTAAGGGTTTTTTGCTATGTTTAGCCATGACTATGATGTCATTTTCTATTTTAATATCTTTATGATGTATTTAAATGGGCTTTTATGGTTACAAAGGAATTTTATTTTTAGATATTACTTTAAATGTTGCTGATTAAGGATTTTTGTTTATTTTTAGCCATGACTATGATGTCACTTTCTATTTTAATACCTTTATGATGTATTTAAATGGGCTCCCATGTATTTAGATTTTTGATTATTTATACATGTTACCAAATTGGTCCACATTGAACAAAAACGGTCCAAATTTCAACTTTATTACATTACATCAAACATTGAATTCTACATATTCTTTGATATATTGAAATTAACAAACAATTTAGTTTATGGATATTCCACCATAATAGGTAAATTAAATTTTTTCCAGTTCTTACACCACATTCATCCTGTGTCAGAAACCTATGCTGTGTCAAATATTTAATGACAATCCAAAGTCATAGCTGTATCAAGCTTAAATTTTGTGTCCATACTTGCCCCAACTGTTCAGGGTTCGACCTCTGCGGTCGTATCAAGCTGCGCCCCAGCGAAGCATTTTATTCTCTATTCTTTAAATCTTAATAACTTATTATTTTCTCTTCTCTATTCTTTATTTGTCGGTCCATTTTTCTACATTCTATACTTTTTTTGTCCCTATTTCTCCATTCTATAAAACCCCATCCACACCCTCCTGAATCCTACCACAAGTGCACCGACGATATTTGACAAGGTTTACTACAATAAACATGTATATTGGGCACTCAGCAGTGAAATACCTTACAAGTATAGAATAAAAGTTTACTGCAATAAACGGAGCCTCGTGTACCTTGGGCACCCAGCTGTGAAACAAAATTCATCTCCCATGCTTATGAGACTACCTGTCTTTACAGGTAAAATAATTGTATATTAGATACAATTAACGGACGTGTAGCAAAACAATGTAACTGTAAGATTGATAAGATTAATCACATTCACATTTTCAAGAGTGGCCGCATAATAACAAACTATTAACAAATTATTAATGATTAAAAACAAAAATTTAAATATGAATAGATATAACTGCATTTGAAAGATAAAAACTATTTTTTTTTTTTTTTTTTGATTAATTCAATTTTGTTTTTAAATTATTTTTAAAAGAAAAATAATAATATCCGATACTGTTATAGTATTCTCAGTGATAGGTGATATATGTCGTCTGCTACGGTCGAATACGAAACTACGTTAAAATAACGTAGCTAACTACCGGAGACTCAGATAATCCGATAAATCTATAGTGACCAATCTCTGTGTTATAGAAGTCTCAGTTGAAACTGAGGTTAATGTACAGATATATTTTTTTTCTGAGACAAGTTCGTGCGTGGATGATGAATAAATGACAGAAATTCAACCACACCGTAATAACTATTATATTGTAGTGATACAAATCAGTATACCTGGGACTATTATACTAATATAATAATAGTCCCAGAGTATGTATACACTGGTTTGTTGTTATATATTATATTAATATAACAGTTACATGTATATATAATTTTCATCCATTTGTATATCATTCTATTGTACTATTCTAATAATGGTGCAGTGCAAGTGCATGGTGGACACATGGTAAAAAAATCCATTTTTCTAAAAGATTGGATATGAGCAGCCATTCATATTTTCCCGCAAATCCAATTACAGAGTTACCGGTCCTTGCCGCGAGTGTCACAAAACGTTCTTGAGATATTCTTCCACAAGCTTTAACACAATTTTTCGGTACGTGTGCATAGATATTATCAATTATTTTTTTACTTTTATATATATATATCTAACGACAAAACATTTTCATATTATTAATTTGTGTTTAAAAAAAATATTTGTAGGACCATCCATTGAAAAAAATGAATTTAAAACAAGCGATAAGGAATGTTATTTTGCACTAGATAATGCACGGTCCGCGGATCTATATTTTTTTATAGATCTGTTGAAAACCCAAAACTAATTTGCATAATGGAAATTTAGGCGATAGCAATACATCGGAATGACCTCACGGTCATCTCGATGTAAAAAACAGAAATGGACCTCTTCTGGCTCACTACCGAAGAACAAAAAAACACGCCCCTGGGGTTTTGAAATTCTCAGTGATATTTTTTAAAAGTGGGGACTTGTAAAAATACAATTTCCTCCCATAAAAGAAAATGATAAAGTTGCTATAACTCTGATGCAAGACCAGAATGTTTTCTGTTTTACGTAACAAACTTGACTTTTAATAAATAAAATTTATCCTAGATATCTATCTTATCTTAAATCCGGAAGTTCAAATTGTGTCCGCAAACGGGAATATGTTTACTCTATCCACATACCAACTTTCACTTTCGCAAAGCATCGTGCTCTCTCAAAGCGATTATTCCTGTTATGTAAAGCTACAACATAATGGCACTCATGTAGGAGTAGGTATGCCAAGACTTAAGTAAAAAGAGAGAGAGACTCTTAAAAAGGAAGCCATATTGATAAACGGCTTACAGTGTAGACAGACTGTTGAATACTCAGAATAGGTTGCTCATGCATGGAAGATCCTCATAAGATTATATAATCATACAGATTATATTATAGGTATTTTTTTGTATTGGATACACGATTTTTGTCTCGCCTGTGGCGAAAGTCGCGGAAAGCGAGACATTTATTTGGCTTTTTCTGGCGACGGCAGATGCGTCAACAATTGACAGCTTAAATCAGTTTGATAGGATGTCCTGATGATGATGATGATAGATGGTTACTTAACATCCAGCTGCACAATTAAATATGCATGTATCATTGTCATTTTGCTTAGTTTCTTTTGTTACCTATTCTGACATCCGACTCGGACTTCTTTTAAACTGAGTTTTACTGTGCGTATTGCTATGTGTTTCTTTATTCTACATTGGCTAGAGGTATAGGGGAGGGTTGAGATCTCACAAAACATGTTTAACCCCGCCACATTTTTGAGCCTGTCCCCAAGTCAGGAGCCTCTGGCCTTTGTTAGTCTTGTATGTTTTTTTTAATTTTAGTTCCTTTATATGTTTTGGAGTTTAGTGTGACGTCCATTTTCACTCAACCAGTACACAATTTTATTTAGGGGCCAGCTGAGGACCAACGCGGGGTGCAGGATTTTCTCGCTGTGTTGAAGACCCATTGGTGGCTGTCGGCTGTTATCTGCTATTTGGTCGGGTTGTTGTCTCTTGGACATATTCCCCATTTCCATTCTCAATTTTATATTCAGGATGAGAACATGTTAATGTAACATGAATATTAAGCCTGCTTTGTACTAGACCATCACGCTGAGCTGGATTTTTAACGTGCTAGTTCACCAGGTAACGGTCTGCAGGAAGACAAGTCACCTTACCAGGACACATTATTCTGACTCCAAGCTGACCAGTCTTTGCTCTTGCTCCTTAATGCTGGGTGCTTTGCGGATAAGCAGCAAATACCAATTTTAAAGTCTTTGATGTGACTTGGACAGGGTTTGAACCCACGACCTCCCGCACATGATGCAAACACACTACCACGAGACCACAGAGGAGTTTGATAGGAACTACTTGTGATAGATCAATGATATTTTCTATAAAGTTGCATTACTATCAGTAGTAGTACATATCAGTTTGACATCAATTTCGAGTCCCTGCCCTAGGTTTTCCATTAATAAGCAATTTTCAATGTATAGTTTTTTGCTTAATTAAGTTAATTTGATAAGAACTACTTGTGATAGATCAATGATATTTTGCATAGACATGATAGAGTTGTATTACTATCAGTACATATTAGTTTGATGACTATTTCAAGGCCCTGTCCCATAGGTCATGGTCCAATGATTTTGAATTAATTAGCAATTTTCAATGTTGTTTTCTGCTTAAGTCAGTTTGACAGGAACTACTTGTGATACATGTAGATCAATGATATTTTCTTTAAAGTTGCATTACTAAATCAGTTCATATTAGTTTGCTGACTTGTTTTTTTGTCAATACGGTCAATTTTCTGACATCATCCACAAACGTATATATTCCATGTTTTTATAAGTTTGATGAAAAATCTATCTGAAAGTAATGTGATTAAACTGTTTTAGATATAGATAAACAGAAAAATTGCTTACCTGTTTGGACCACCCGTCAACGTGTTTTGCACATAATGTGAAACCACAGTACACCGTATCAGTAAACCACATCTGATAGAGGACCCTGAATGTATAGTGTTTATAGATTCAATTGTGAAGTCCATATTAGTTGCAAACTATTTCCAAAATTTTCCAATTGTCATAATTTTAAAGTGTTTTCTTCATGTTTTGGCATGGCTGGTGGTGCATTAACAACATGATATGCCTACTTTGTTGATGAACCTGATCTCACTCCTTTTTGCTTTCATTTCCTAATTCTTTTTCTCTATTGTAAATAAATGAAGGGATATTCTGATCACAAAAAAAACAAAAGAAAGATGAACAAAATAAGAATAAGTGAACAAACTTTATTGATCAGAATTGTCGATTTAATTCTTCAACAGTGCAACCAATTTAAGCACAAAGAAGGAAAATGTCTTACATCCATTTAGATCTTATTTTCAAATTAAATTTTTTATACATGTCATTATGAATAAATAATTACATTTAAGTGAAGACTTACAAATCAAGTTTGTGTTTCATTTCAGTTGGATCATTTTGTGATAAAGCTGTATGCTGGTCCATTTGTGTTATACCAAAGTGAATACATCTAATTTTAAAAATTGTCTACTTTTAGTCATTTAATTTTGTGGATATCCCAAGATCAATTGTCTTAGGTTTGGTATGGGAACTTGTGCAAAATGTTTTTGTGGATGGAGTTTCAGAAGGTTTTATCCTGTATTTTCAAATTTTTTAACATTTTTTTTTTTAATCTGACAAAATATTTAAGTCAATATTTTGCACAGGTGATTGATACATTCTCTTTGCTGCCTCTAGTTCAATCAGTCAAAAATGACATTTTCAAGAGAACTTGGACATGTTGGAAACATAGTAAGTTTAAATTCAATATAATTTTGTCTGACCTGCGACGAAAGTTGCAGAAAGCGAGACATAGGTGTTGCTTTTTCCGACGGCAGTTTTCTGCTTAAGTTAGTTTGATAGGAACTACATTGTACTTAAGATAGATCAAAGGTATTTTGTAAAAAGTTGCATTACTATCAGTACATATCAGTTTGTTGAGGCCCTGCCCCTAGGTCATGGTCTAGCGACTTTGAAATAAGTAGCAATGTTTCTGCCTATCAGATTGTCTTTTTTTTTATTTTCTGTCGACAGGCAAGACATATCTCTGTGTCAACATTTTTTTTAATATATATGTAAAACTCTCAAACATGTACATCCCCTAACACGTGTCCGATTCTCCAAAACGTGTCTACTTCCCCAAAACGTGCCTTTAAAATTCCAAATTGCCCAAACGTGTCCGATAATTATTATTTGCCAAAACGTGTCCACTTTAAGATGCCATGACGTCTCAAAATTTTAAGCGCTAAAATGTCCTTAGTGTGTAATTGCAAGCTTAATTTGCAACATTAATAACTCTGAATATTGATTGCTTAATGTCAAGTTCATATATTTCATGCATATTTAGAGCTAACATTAGAATTGCAATTAATTAGTTTTGTACAATTGAAGTAGTTGTTTACTAAGTAAATTCTTTTGTACGAATATACTCCAGTGATGCCTAATTATATTAATAATGCATGAAGATATTGCACTGCCAGTTTCCTGTAGGAGTGTTTTCCAATTTTTTCTATAGTACTGATTTTTTTACTTCAAAGTATGTACTGGTATTCAGTTTTTAGTTTTTAAATATTTTGGGTTCGAGCATCACTAACAAACATAATAAAGAAGAATGAATTTGTATGTATCATTAGCATCCCTGATACCAGCCATATAATTTATAATCGTTAAAAACATGTATTACCTTAAGGTATCGTTAAAATACATTAAAAATAGTATGCGTAACTTTAAAGATGTGAATTTAAGTCATTCTAAATATGCACCATCTTTTGAACTGTCACATTACGTTAAATCAATTGTTAAGGAGGTAATAATCGACTTACAGAAAAAACTGGAGTAACTAAATGTTGCTTGCTTAGTGTATTGTGGCAATTATTTCATGCATATTTAAGACAATAAATTAATGGATTGGGCCCTAAAAAAGATTATGTTTGTTTGCCCTAACCCTACCTACCCAAAAAATAGCTGCCTACTCAAAATCTTTTATTGTCCTGATGGGAAAAAGTTTTTTTTTCAATCAGATAGGCATGGAGATAAAAAACATTTGACGCATTAATTTCTCTTTGTCAAAAAAGAAAAAGAAAATGCCTACCTACCTACCCGCTGTTTCAACCTTTGGGTAGGGTTTGGACAAACCAAAATATTTTTAAGTGTGGCCTTGTTGGTTGCTCAACGTCCAGTGGCAACTATTTTATGTATGATCAGGACAAGAATATACATGTATCAACAATGAAATAGGTAGGGTCTATAATGAGGGACAGAAGGACCTTTTTCAGGACGTCAGGATTGGGCATTTTTTTGTGCCGGATATACACTAATCGGGACTCGGGAATTGAATATTAATTTTTCAGGATTTGGGAAAAATTGGGGAAATTTTGAATGCAACTGGAAAATGGGGGTACATTGGATAGGGACAGAAATTTTGCCTTGCAACAGGCCACCTACAGACCCCACAAATAGTGGTTACAAAGGTCACTCTCCCTACACCATTATCGAATTTAATGTTCCCATTCTGAGTGGACGTGGCTGCATACTTTTACATCCCGCATAGCCAAACGGATGCCCACTTTTGCAAGGGTTTTACTGCCAATCGGAAAAAAACCTAAGTGACCATATTGGGGTATACCTCAATGAAAGAGCAATTACCAAATTTGTTTTTAAACATTATGTAACCGCGAATCACTTCTAAATAATGGTGGACACGTTTTTCGCCCCAGTTTATGTGTCAAAAACTTCATTTTCATGGGATATTATCTGAATTTGAAGTGTACAGGTAACGAATTAACCTTCAGGTTGAGAGTTTTCATTCGTATGATGTTATTTTCTTGACGTTACAGGGATTATGACACGTTTGGGAAATTAGACACGTTTGAACATTTTCTTTTGAATGGACACGATTGGGCGTTCTTAAAAAGGACACGTTAAGGCACTCTTTAGAACATAGACATGTTTGCAGTTTAGTGACATAATGGGGACAGGCTTGAGTGAATCGGACACCTTTGGGGGAATGGACATGTTTCTGAGTGTTACATATATCATGTATATTCATTGAAGCATTTTAACTTATATATATTGTAGAAATCTAATGAATAATTTTAGGAATTCTGTGCTGTAGACAACTAAAGAAGATTGAGCCCATAAAACAGTGACTTTCTGAAACATAGGATACTGAATCATCTTTAGAACAAAAATGTCAGACCCAGAAGTTGACAACTGTAAGGATATTCCAAAGATGAGTAAAGGAGAAACAGATTTTACTGGTCTCACCACAAACAATTTTACTGGGGATGATGCCCAAACATTCGAAAAACAAATCCAAAAGAATATTGCTAATTTGGAAGAAGAAGAAATAAAAAATGATAATGAATTATTTTATGATACTAAGAGTAATTTAGACTTAACTACTAAGAGTAATTTAGACTTAACTAGTAATGCCAAGGAGGACATAGGTGATGAAACGTATTCAAAATTTCAACTGATTCATGAGATCAAAGAACCAAATGATGATATGATTAACGAAAGTTTAGTGTGTGGACTTTGTCAACAATATCTACAGGATCCAAAATTACTACCATGTTTGCACACCTTTTGCTTGAACTGCTTAGAGAAACTGTGTTTTCCAGAAGAAAAAAATGAAACTCTTAAAGATGCAGACTTTGAAGTGTCTGCTGCAGATGGGATAAATGGGAATAAAAATGATATTACAGAGGTCTTGTCATGTGATCATACCATGACTGACAAGGTAGATAACTCTAAATACAAGAAATTGTTGGATATGAAAAACAATAAAGAAGAAAAAGTCAAAACTACTTCAGTTTTAGCCAAAATAGGTTTAAGTCCAAAAACAACCCATTGTCCAACATGCATGGAAATCTTTGAAATGCCTGTAAAGGGCTTAGAGGAATTACATTCCAATACAGTCTTTTCAAACATGATTAAGATCAGGGAGAAGTTAAATCAGACAAAACAGTGTGAAATTTGTAAACTTAGAGATATCGTAGAAGAAGCCACTGCCTTCTGTAAAGATTGCAGCGACATGCTGTGCAAAAGCTGTTGGCAAAGTCATTCTTTTACTCGCTTTACTTTAAACCACAAGGTAGTTCCATTAGAAGAAATGAAAGACAAGGCCTTGGACGATGCCATAAGAAACAAGTCAAAACCAATGTGTTCTTTACATGAAGATGAACTGCTGAAATACTTTTGTTCAGATTGCAAATTTCTTGTATGCCGTGAATGTATTTTGCTGCATCATCAGGGGCATTCATGTATTTTGCCATCAGTTGCAGTAGATCCGAAGAAGAAAGAAATTGAAAGCTTAATTTATGGGTTTCACGGACGACTTGAAAATTTGAGGAAAGATGAACATGAGGAATACGAAAGTCAGAATGATCGAGTAGCAGTTGCTGAGAATACTGAAATTGAAAAGATCAATTCATTTTTTCAGAAATTAGTGGAAGCTGTTGAGAAAGAGAGACAATCCATCATTTCAAACACTAAGGCTGAATTTACTAGGCTTAAAACACAAAGTAAAAACAGATTTTCATGCAGTGAAAATATAGAAAAAAACATGACAAGTATACATCCTGCATTACATATACTAACAAGTCAAGCCAGTGATGAAGATTTTTTGCAGATGGAACCAATTTTACACAAACGACTGGTACAGATGATTAACAAAGATATCAAACCATATCCGGTTAGTTGGTATTCTCTGCCAGTGGTTGATGTAGTCAGTTCTTTGAAAATTTCATGTCGACAGGACAAAAACATAGACCTGTCATTGTTCAAAGTTACTGGACCAAAGCAAAAATTTGAACCTGCAGAATCTATACCAATTCAAAGTTCCTATGATGAGTTAGTTGAAATGGGAAAGTTTAGAAGAATATCTCCTCAGCCTTTGAATGTTGAAGAAATTACAGGTCAAGCTTCATCCAAAATTAAACCTGAAGATAGTAGTTTGAGAAAGAAGAATTTTGTGGATGCTACAGTATGGTCGCAACCCCATTCAGGAAATGTTGGAAAAGAAGATCATGATTTAGAAAGTGACAGTGAATCCTCAGACTCTTCATGGGTTGATGCATCATCAGATAATCAAAATCCATCAGTGGGTAAGAAAAAGAGGAGCAGAGGCAAAAGAGGAGGCAAGAAACAAAAAGGAGAACGACAGAAAGTGGATGTATTACAGAATATGGCTCAATCTACTTTCCCAAAAGATAAAGGAATTGTCAATGAACCCTTAAAGGGACTCAAAAGGAGTCCTCAAACATCTATAGTTTTTGGCAACCCTACAAATATGTATGGGCTTATGAATAATCCTGCTCAAAACATGCAAAGCTGCCAGCCTTCCTATAGGTATCCTACCACAGTTCCAGTTCCAGGGAATGTGCTACAAATGTATGGTTCTGTACCTAATTTGTACACTATGCCACAACAAGATGGTTTCCAGTCACAGAGGCCTTCTTTAATGATGGACTTAGCATGGCAACAAAGGAAGGATAGTCATAAACAGCAGAAAGAAAGCAGAAGCAGATCTGTCTCATCTGAAGATAAATCAGTGTCTTCAACCAGTGCTGCTGCAGCTGCCATTGCAAAACCAAGTAAAGTTATTTCTTTGCAGCCGAAATGGCGACTGGATACAAAGCTTAGTATTGATATCCATGAACCAAATCTTAGAAGTGTTTATTGTCTCCAAGTTACCAGTATTATTGTTTCTGATGTCAAAAATTCCAAGGTCAAAATATTTACAACAAAGGGAGAATTTATCAAATGCTTTGATCTGAAAAGTGTCAACCAAGCAATTTTTACTGCAAACTTATTGATTTATAGTGTAAAAAATCAAATTTGTGCCATAAAAGAGGATGGAACAGATATGAATCCACTAATTTTCAACAACACTCCTTTTAATTGTTTGGTAACTTGGTCTCCAAAAAATACCATTGTTGTATCAACCGGAGTAAAAATACGCCAGTATAGAGTAGATGAAAACAAGGGAAATTTTATTAAGAATTTAGATATTGGAATAGGCAGCAGTCAGATTCAACAGATAGTTGATTTGAGATGTGATCATCAAGGCAAGAAGCTGGTGGTAATTGATGGAATCTCAAAGTCTGTCAGTGTTTTGGATTTTGAAGGAAACCTGTTGGGTAAGTTTTTATACGACCGCAAACAATTTTTGCAGTCGTATATTGGTATGACGTTGGCTTCCCAAGACACATTAGTTTTCGCACTATAACTTTAGTATAAGTGAATGGATCTCTATGAAATTTTACCATAAGGTTAAATACCACAAAAGGAAGGTTGGGATTGATTTTGGGGGTTATGGTACCAACAGTTAAGGAATTAGGGGCCAAAAATAAGCATTTTCTAGTTTCCAGACAATAACTTGTGGAACGGTGTATGGATCTCTCTGAAATTATACCAAAAGTTTCCATACCACAAAGGGAAATTGTGGGGATCAATTTTTTCTCATTTCAGATTTCAGAAATTAAAAAGAATTATTCTTCAAATATTTTTTTTTTTTCAAATTTCAAATATTGAAAAATTTCAAGAAGTAATCTTTAATTGCACAGTATGGCGCATTAGATTTGTAAAATCTTGGACCACATTTTTTTCTTTGATATGCTGAATCTAACCGTGTATTTAGATTTTTAATTTTGGGTCCAGTTTTCAAATTGGTCTACATTAAGGTCCAAAGGGTCCAAAATTAAACTTAGTTTGATTTTAACAAAAAATGAATATATGGGGTTCTTTGATATGCTGAATCTAAACATGTATTTAGATTTTTGATCTTGGGCCCAGTTTTCAAGTTGGTCCAAATCGGGGTCCAAAATTAAACTTTGTTTGATTTCAACAAAAATTGAATATATGGGGTTCATTGATATGCTGAATCTAACCATGTATTTAGATTTTTTATTTGTGGGTCCCGCTATCAAATTGGTTCATATTGAGGTCAAAAGGGTCCAAAATTAAACTTTGTTTGATTTCATCAAAAATTAAATTATTGGGGTTATTTGATATGCCAAATCTAACCGTGTATTTAGATTTTTAATTTTGGGTCCAGTTTTTTAAATTGGTCTACATTAAGGTCCAAAGGGTCCAAAATGAAACTTAGTTTGATTTTAACAAAAATTGAATTCTTGCCGTTCTCTGATATGCTGAATCTAAACATGGGTTTAGATTTTTATTATGGGCCCAGTTTTCAAGTTGGTCCAAGTTGGGGTCCAAAATTAAACTTTGTTTGATTTCAACAAAAATTGAATATATGGGGTTCTTTGATATGCTGAATCTAACCATGTATTTTGATTTTTGGGCCCCGTTATCAAATTGGTCCACATTGAGGTCAAAAGGGTCCAAAATTAAACTTTGTTTGATTTCATCAAAAATTGAATTCTTTGGATTCTTTGATATGCTGAATCTAACCATGTATTTAGATTTTGGATATTGGACCATAATAGGTAAATTACAATTTTTTAATTTGTTAGACCACATTCATTCTGTGTCAGAAACCTATGCTGTGTCAAATATATAATCACAATACAAATTCAGAGCTGTATCAAGCTTGAATGTTGTGTTCATACTTGCCCCAACTGTTCAGGGTTCGACCTCTGCAGTCGTATCAAGCTGCGCCCAGCGGAGCATTTTATTAGTTATTAATTTTAAACATAAAAATAATTGCCATGCTTTATTCTTTTTTCAGCTTTCTTGGCTTGAAGGGCAAGTGTAAACTACTGCCATCACTTGGCATCCATTGACTGTCTGTCATTGTCTGTCGTCTTCTGTTGTCTTTAATTTAGATCTTCTCCCCTTAGACTACAAGGACTATTTGAACAATTTGGCTACAATCATCCTTGTTTTATTCTTTTTGGAAAAATATGTGTAATGATTCTTTCTGCTAACCAACATGGCCACCAATGCTAAAAATAGAAATGTGAGTTATCGCTAATTGTCCCCCACACAATCCAGTCTTGTTAGCGCTCTCATGTGTACAATTCTTGCCGGATTTTTATGAAACTTATAATATAGGTTTATATCAGCAATGTCTTGGACAAGTTCAAAAATCAGTGCTGATCAATTATTTTTAAAAGAGTTATGCCTGTTGGAAACATTAATTATATGGAAAATTGCATCGTTAGCGCTCTCATTTTTGTCTATCCTGCGACTTCTGCATAGGGATAGTGATCCAGCGGCTGTGGCATTAACAAACTTTTAAAAAGCTTAATATTTCAGAAGGTAGAAGACCTGGATCCTTCGTACTTTGTATATAGATGCCTAATGTTATGAAGTTTCCGTCTGACCTATGTCCATTGTCCTTGACCTCATTTTCATGGTTCAGTGACTACTTGAAAAAAAAGTAAAGATTTTTAATTTCTCTCTTATTATGAGTAATAGGATAACTAAATTTGGTATATGCGTACTTTGCAAGGTCCTCTTGTCTGTCAGATAGTTTTCATTTGACCTCAACCTCATATCATGGATCAGTGAACAAGGTTAAGTTTTCGTGGTCAAGTCCATATCTCAGATACTATATTTGGTGTATGGAATGATTGTAAGGTGTACATGTCCAACTGGCAGGTGTCATTTGACCTTGACCTCATTTTCATGGTTCAGTGGTTATAGTTAAGTTTTTGTGTTTTGGTCTGTTTTGTGGTGTATGAAAATATTTTACGATGTACATGTCAGTCAGCCATGTTTTATTTGACCTTGACCTCATTTTTACGGTTCATTGCTCAATGTTAAGTTTTTGTTATTTGGTCTGGTTTCTAATATTATAAGCAATAGGTCAACTATATTTGGTGTATGGAATGATTGTAAGGCATATATGTCTGTCTGGCAATTATCATCTGACCTTGACCTCATTTTCATGGTTCATTGGTCAATCTTAAGTTTTCCTGGTTAAGTTTGTTTCTTAGATACTATATGCAATAGATCAACTATATTTAAAGCATGTAATGATTGTTAGGTGTACATGTCTGTCTGGTAGGGTTCAACCGACCTCAACCACATTTTCATGGTTCATTGATCAGTGTTAAGTTTTCGTGGTTAAGTTTGTTTCTTAGATACTATGTGCAATAGGTCAACTATATTTAAAGCATATTTGGTGTATGGAATGATTGTAAGGTGTACATGTATTTCCAGTTTGGTTTATCTGACCTTGACCTGATTTTCTTGGATGATGTTAAGTTTATGTGATAGTTGTAGTAAAGCTTTGTATTTAGGACTATCAACATAAAATCAATGGCCAGTAAAGAAGATGAGACATTTCAGCTTGTGCACTCTTGTTTCAATTCTTGCCAGATTTTTATGAAACTTATATCATAGGTTTATATCAGCAATGTCTTAGACAAGATTTGAAATCAGTGCTGATCAATTATTTTTAGAAGAGTTATGCCCCTTGGAAACATTGATTTATATGGAAAATTACATTGTTAGCGCTCTCATGTGTACAATTCTTGCCAGAATTTTCTGAAACTTAAATCATTGGTTTAAATCAGCAATGTCTTTGAAGAGTTCAAAAATCAGTGCCGATCAAAAATTTTTAAAAGAATTATGACCCTTAGAAATATTAATTATACAGAAAATTTCCTTATGAGTGCTCTCATATGTACAATTCTTGCCAGACTTTTATGAAATTTATATGATAGGTTTATCTCATCGATGTCTTTGACAAGTTAAAAAATCAGTGCTGATCAGTTGTTTTTAAAAGAGTTATGCCCCTTGGAAATATTGATTACACGGAAAATTGCATTGTTAGCACTCTCATCATGCTCGTATGTTCAATTCTTTCCAGAATTTTATGAAACTTATAATATCATAGATTTATATTTAGATTTTATTTCTGTTAGTTAAAAATTTTGTGAATTTTATGTTTTAGTTGTTTAACAAAATATACATTCCTTACTTTGTCCCTCAATTTTGTATGATAATTTTTTATGTTGTACTGTTTCTTTGCATTTGAATTAGAATTTGTATAATTTTTTAGGGACTTACAAGGAAGACAGTCCTGGTTGGAATCCAACTTCTGCCTGTTTTGACAAGAAGGGTTTGGTCTTTGTCACAGATGGTGGTGGAAATCGTCTTGTGTATCTTTCAGTCACTGCACAGTTTATCCAGCAATGGGATACATGTCCTACAATCAACAAGCCATCATATGTTGCTACACATATTTCTCAACCATTATATCTTATAGGCCATGACAGATATGTCCATGTCTATGATTATTTATATCTTTAGATTTTCCAACTAAATGTATCACCAAGGGGGGCAGGGTAAAGAAGTAGACTTTTGTCATTAGAAAGTCTTCTGGTTTCCTGTTTGGATTTCAGTTGATTATAGATCCAAAAGTATACAGTTTTGTGAAGTTAAATGAAAAATCACTTTATGCTACCAACTGGCAATATTTGGAATGCCTGAAATTGATATGATGCATAAGGATTTTGTATCACAGACTTTATTTTATTCATTGTAGCTTGTGGTTAAATGCTAAGAAAAAAAAAGAATCACATGTATCAATTACTTTAACATGTTTAATATTATAAATAGAAATGAAAATGTACAAACTTATTTCTTTTTTAGTTGAGTAATAAAAAGAGGTAAAATTTGACAAAATTTCAATTTTATTTCTTCTGATGACAATTTATGTTTTAAAAAAAAAATTTCTTTAATTCAAAAGTACAAAAATATAATTTCAACTGAAAAACTTGTAAAAAATGATGACCTATATTATACAATGTCTTATGTTTACACTTGTATCATTCTGATGGAATTTTTTAGATCTTCCCTAATTTACAAATTTCAACCATTCTAGCTTTTTTTAAATGTCATGTAATTGCTATAAATTCATCCCCTTCTTTTGGCGTTGATCCCTGAAAAGAATTATACCAAGTTTTCCTTAAGAGTAAAAATCATGAATTTAAAAGTTGAATGAGGATATTTTCATCAATTTTCCAAATGAAGGATCATAAGATTATTCATTTGTAATTGTCAGATCTTGATGAGATAGAACTTTTATGTATATCTATCATGACAGGGTAACGCTTTTGTATTTCATTAACCAAAAATCTTTCTCTTTTTGCTTCAAATTTTTACCCTTTTTTAAGACTGTTCCATTAAAACTTTCAAAATACTCCCACGGGATGTTTTTTTTGCCACATTTGCAAAGTAATGCATAGGATATGAAAAAGCTATTGTCCTCTGTCCAGTTAACATTGTAAGAGCTCTCATACCTACAGTTCCCATTAGATCTATGGTTATCACGAAAAAAGTGAAAAAAATTCAAGAAAACATCGCATTCTTAACTTTCTTTTCAGAAATTTAATTTATAATGGTCCAACAAAAACTCCTTTTAAAACTCCAATATTCATATAACCTAATAAATGCACAAAAACAACATGGAATTGTGAGAGACTGACAACTTTCACGAATCTGGCTAAAATAAAATAAATCCTTTAGAAGTTTTAGCGAGATATGCAAGGACCAAGATAAATATATAAATAGGAATTGAAACAGTGTTACCAGTAAATGAGTTATAAGGCCTCAATGAATTTGCGAAAGCCTAACTAGCACATGGAAAATTAGATTTTACATATAAACAAATGTGGTCTGTCAAGAGACCCAATAAAGGGTATACAACAGAATAAAACGAGGAAATGACGAAGCAAAATAACATAACAAATATAATAATATAATAAACTGCCACAACAGGCTGAAAAATGTATTGCATACATTAACAGCTATTTTTAAATTTATTGATATGAATGAGTTTCAATCGATAATTTTAGAAATTAACAAGAAATTTCAAACAGTTACCCGTTATGTGCCTCATCAAGTCTAAATAGAAATCCTTACTGATTTACATAAGATATTTTTAAAGTTTAATAATTATTTTGGATGAGATTTGAAATCTTATTTTTGGAGTAATACCCATAGGTAATGTAAATTATATTGAAATTAATGGTCTAGATTTCTTCTTGGGAAGCTTAATGAATTTTATGAAAAAAGTTTATGTTAGCAATCTCTTGGATGAGTTTGAAAAATCAGGGCTGATCCAATATATTGGTGGACTTTATATGCACCATAAAATTGAAAATTATACAGAAAATCTGCATTGTAGCTGATCTACATTCAGATCCCTTTAGACTTTCATTGAAATTTATTTAAAAGATTTACATCAGCAAAATCAAGACGCATAAATAATCATTTTGGAGTTATGTCCCTTAGAAATGTAAATAATATTAGAAATCAAAATTAACTATAGTCCAGCTAACGTTGATTTGAGCCAAAAATACCATAAATATATAAATCTCAATTCCACCCTTTAGCTTTATTTGTTTTTCTGTTATTGTTATTTTTATTCAATCAAATATAGAAATGAAAGGATATGGAGTAAGAGTACATGGGACAAAATCGCACACAATACATAGTAAAAATAAATAAATTATCAATGAACAGGGCTTTTATTCCTGTTCTTCATCTTGACAGTTGATGTAGGGTCTTATATATATATATATATATATATATTGATTTATTATTATGATTTAATGATTGTTTAGCCAAACATTACCATGAATATATATGGATCCCTATTCCACCCTGTTTATTGATTATTTTTTGTTATTTTCTTTAAACATAATATATATATATTGATCAATTTCTAGAATTTAATGTATATTTACAGCTGTCTTAATTATCAAGAACAAGGAATTAAAACATACAATCCATTTTACATGCAAGATGGTTTAAGTATTTTATATTAACATTGATTGTTCATTAAAAAAAAAGGAAATGAATCAGCAAAATTAGATAAGTCTGAAAGAAACTTATGGTAGCGAAATGAATTTGACATGATCACTCAAAGGTTATTAAGAAATGTAAATAACTTCACATCATGAAATAAGTCACTTAAACCATTACTTTCTAGACTTCAGTTTTTCCATTTCGGCTTCCAGCATAGAAATGAGATAACTTAATCAACTATAAGCTTAAAAGGCAATATTTTTTCAAATTTGCCAAATTTATAAAAAAAAATACATTAAACATATTGTGTATAATGCAAGGTTATTTTATTTTTATCTATGCAGATATTTGTGAAGGAATTTTGAAACATTTAGATTATATATAATTATACCCCACACAACGAGTTGCGGAGGGTTTAATGTTTTTGACCCGTCCATCCGTCTGTCCGGCCGTCAGTCCTGTTTCTTGTCATCGCAACTCCTCTCAAACCACACAACAGAACTTCACGAAACCTTTTTAGATAATAAGGACATACTATGTAGTTGTGCATATCGACAGGAAATTACGATTCAATTTTTTTTCTAGGAGTTACGCCTCTTTGAACTTATTTGCCCAATATACTACTGCAACCTTTTGTCATCGCAACTCCTCTCAAACCACACCACAGAATTTCATGAAACCTTTTAAGATAATAAGGACATACTACGTAGATGTGCATATCGACAGGAAATTACGATTCAATTTTTTTTCTAGGAGTTACGCCTCTTTGAACTTATTTGCTTCAATATACCTCTGCAACAGTTTGTCATCGCAACTCCTCTGAAACCACACAACAGAATTTCATGAAACTTTGTAGATAATAAGGACATACTACGTAGATGTGCATATCGACAGGAAATTATGATTCAATTTTTTTTCTAGGAGTTACGCCCCTTTGAACTTATTAACTTTAATGTACTATTGCAACAGTTTGTCATCTCAACTCCTCTGAAACCACACAACAAAATTTCATGAAACTTTGTAGATAATAAGGACATACTACGTAGATGTGCATGTCGGCAGGAAATTACGATTCAATTTTTTTCCAGGAGTTACGCCCCTTTGAACTTATTTGCTTCAATATACCTCTGCAACAGTTTGTCATCGCAACTCCTCTGAAACCACACAACAGAATTTCATGAAACTTTGTAGATAATAAGGACATACTACGTAGATGTGCATATCGACAGGAAATTATGATTCAATTTTTTTTCTAGGAGTTACTTCCCTTTGAACTTATTAACTTTAATGTACTACTGCAACAGTTTGTCATCTCAACTCCTCTGAAACCACACAACAAAATTTCATGAAACTTTGTAGATAATAAGGACATACTACGTAGATGTGCATATCGGCAGGAAATTACGATTCAACTTTTTTCCAGGAGTTACGCCCCTTTGAACTTATTTGCTTCAATATACCTCTGCAACAGTTTGTCATCGCAACTCCTCTGAAACCACACAACAGAATTTCATGAAACTTTGTAGATAATAAGGACATACTACGTAGATGTGCATATCGACAGGAAATTACGATTCAATTTTTTTTCTAGGAGTTACGCCCCTTTGAACTTATTTGCTTCAATATACCTCTGCAACAGTTTGTCATTGCAACTTCTCTGAAACCACACAACAGAATTTCATGAAACTTAGTAGATAATAAGGACATACTATGTAGATGTGCATATTGACAGGAAATTATTATTCAATTTTTTTTTCTTATACAATTTTTGTTTTTCTTACAGTTATTTTATTTCTCCAGTGACAATGTGGGGACGTGGATCGTGGGGTATGTGAGCGCGCTCACTAAGGTTCTTTAATTTCATCTGCCATTATTATTTAAAATCTTAATTTTTGTCTTGAAAACAATCCTGAGTTTATAAGTATCATTCCTGTACAATTGTGGCAACTTCCAATAGTCTTGCTTAATTCATCATTATGATCACCATTTGCTATTTCATTCATACTTGATGTTTAAGAGACACTTGCAATACAAATGTATTACATGTATATATAATGTAATAACTAACTATATTTCCTAAATGTACGTTTATGTTTGTCATTGTGTATGTAAAATTAGAAAGTTGAAGTAAGAATCTTTTAAAACTTTGTTGCTTGTTCATTGACGTTGTTTTTATTGCATTTTGAATGGTTATGTGTGGGCAGGAAGGAAAATACATGTATATAGTTTTGGATTTTTTAATACAGACATGTATTGATGATTGGGAGGTACATAATTTTATAATTTCACAACCTTTGTGCTTAAGGGAAAAAATTTGGTTAGGGTTTTGTAAGTTTTTAATGGAAGGTAGGGATTATGGCATTTCTAGCAAAGGGTTTGTTTAGTTTTTATACGCCTGTTTACGGGACGTATTATGGTATACTGTTGTTCTGTCTGTCTGTCCATCCATCCATCGTCAACATGTCGGACAATAACTCAAAAACATTTTAACCAATTTGCATGAAACTTTGGTGAATTATTTATATCTATTGACATGAGCTCCATTTCGATATTTTATAAATTTTCGATTTTATGTTTCCAAGTTATGGGATTTTATTCATTAAAAAAGGGGGATTTTCCAGTTTTCGAACAATAACTCAAAAATGCTTTGAGCAGTTTTCGTGAAACTTTGGTGAATTGTTTATATCTATTGACGTAAGCTCCCTTTCGATTTTTATAAATTTTGGATTTTACGTTTCCAAGTTATGGGATTTTATTCATAAAAAAGGGGGGATTTTTCAGTTTTTCGCACAATAACTCAAAAGTGCTTTGAGCAGTTTTCATGAAACTTTGGTGACTGTTTTATATCTATTAAAATAACCTCCCTTTAGTTTTTTTATAAATTGAGGAGTTGTTGAACTTTATTCTTTGAAAAAGCGACTGGCGTATCATGCGAACATGGCGCAGCTCTTTATTAATTGAAGGTATGGGCTAGTACATGTATATTGTAAATGCTAGGATAATTGTAAAGGTTCTATTGTAAAGGCTAGGATTATGGAAAAAGGTATGGTTAGACTTGGGTTAATTTTTGTAATTGAGGGTAGAGTTATCATAATGGCAATGCCCAAAATGGCAGAATGGTCTAGGTTATTAAAGTAAGATCAAATTTATTATGGCTATTGAATGTTGATACGAATTAATGGTGAAATAAATATTAAATGATTGTTCCGAGGTCAGGAACTTAGTGTTTATAATTATTGCCTTTTGTTTATAAATATCTATTTGAACTTATTTTTGTTGTTGATTTAAAATAATTTCTGTTAAAATAAATTGTTTATTATGTTTTTTTGCAAAGTACCTATCTGCCTGTCTTAATTTGCAAAAATTTGCTCATGTATAATAGTGTGGTGATGTCGTCGTCAGAAGACATTTGATTTCCAGACAATAACTTGCGTATAAGTTAATGGATCGCTATGAAATTGTAACACAAGGTTCCATACCACAAAAGAAAAGTTGGGATGATTTTGGGGGTTATTGTCCCAATTGTTTTGGAATAAGGGGCCAAAAACAAGCATTTTTCTTGGGATTGATTTTAAGGGTTATGGCCCTAACTGTTTAGGAATAAGAAGCCAACAAGTGGCAAAAAACAATACTGTAAGGTACTGGGGAATGTTATACTGAAACAAATAGGTATTAAATTGTGCGGTGTAATTTATAAGTAAATACTTAATTTGTGGCAAGACTGACACATATTTTATAATGATTTTTTACAATTGTGGCAGTAATCCACTATACTTATTACTATGATCACAAGTCAAAATTCAAGTTTTTACCAAATATTATCTTTTAAACTTAACGGTTGTGTTCTTACGCATAGTAACTTGGCTTGCAGCGAGCTAGAGAAACATTTTACATTTGAAATCAAAGATATGGCATTAATTTACTATTTTTTTATGGATTTCACAGGCCAAAGTTTCACTTTTTGCCAATAAATTACAGGGGGAGGCATTTCATTAGCTAAAACATAGTTTTACAAGTAAGGTGTGTACATATGTTGGTACAAAGGTGATATATATCCAGTAAAGCAACTGATTTTATGTGAAAGCTCTGGAATTTGAAATGATTTTATCATTGTTTACATTTTTTGTGTACAAGTGTTACGGCAGGGAATGTATGTAATTACTCATGGATTACCTTCTTCATGCTATATATCATGTAATTCCCGTATTAAGGATCATTTCTGGTAACCAAATATTCATATTTAAACGTCTGATATGCCTGGTATACATAGGGAAATACTTTAACTGCAATTGTTTACTGACCGGCGATTTTGCCGTCTGCCATTTTGTGGGGAATGAAACGTTGATTTTATCTCTTTTGATACAAATTCGTCCCCTGGACAATTGATCTAATATTGCATTTTTAATACCACACATTTAATATTTTATAAGTATACCCTGCCGGACACAAATATATTGTAAATATTTAGATGGTTGTAATGAACTATGTTATATGTTATTTACTTTGTATGTTCTTACGCAGATCGTCTGCTAAATCAATGCGCGCGCAGTGGTGTCCGATTGTTTATTTCAAGCTTCTTTATCGATATTTTAGATGCTATAGCTTTGTTTTAATATTTTATGTATAAGGACAATCATAGGACAACTCAAGATGATTTCAATTCTATGTTTTTCAATATCGTAATTTTGTATAGTTCCGGCTACCCGGAAAGGACAAGTAACCATTGGATTAGTATGTCACGTGACACTTACAATTTAGTATATAAACGCGTGAGCATTCAGTAATGGCAGATAGCCCAAAGTTTTGCTGGCGGCAAGTTTGAACCTAGAAAACAATAAATTTCCAAATAAAGCAGTAATAACCTTTAGGTGAGAATTAGGATAACATAATGAAGTTTAAATAGCCGTCTTTTGTACAGTAAGCTATCTCCCACCACGTCGGACACCACAAATATGTATTTTAGGATTTATTATTCAGTACACTTGAACGCTATTGTTTATTTATATAAAATCATATAATGTTATATGATTTTTTTAACAGTTCAGCAAATAAAACTGTTAGCATTGAAAAGATCACTTTATTTTATCAAACTTGGATACATTCAAAAAGTATTTGCATTTACACTGGTAAAACAACTTGAGCTGGAGGACGCTCGTTCGAAATTAAAAACTATGGAAAGCCGTTAGCAACACAAATAGCACAGTAACAAATAAATACAAAGGAAGCCGTTTAATACACATACATTAACCAAACAGAGGAACTATATTTAAACACAAACTGAGGTGCTCCTGGGAGCAGATACTGCATTTTATGAGTGTTCGTATGTAAACTGCCCAGTATAGGACAGGATACTCTCGGGTGGCTTACAATACTTTTCATATACTTTGTGTAAATTGCTTATTTCTTGACAAATTTCAATGAAGTTTAATTCAAAGTCTTGAATTCTTGGGGTTCTTTGATATACTGAATCTAAATATGTATTAAGATTTTTGATTTTGGGCCCAGTTTTCAAGATGGTCCAAGTCAGTGTCCAAAATTAACTTTGTTTAAATTTAAAAATTAAATATATGTGGTTCTTTGATATATGCTGAATCAAACAGTGTATTTAGATTTTGGATTTAGGGCCCTGTATCAAATTGGTCCACATTGTGGTCCAAAGGGTCCAAAATTAAACTTTGTATGAATCCATCAAAAGTTGAATTCTCAGGTACTTTGATGTGCTGAATCTAACCATCTATTTAGATTTAGGATATTGGACTATAATAGGTAAATGTCCAATTTCAAATTTTTAAGTTCTTAGACCATATTCATTCTGTGTCAGAAACCTATGCTGTGTCAAATATTTAAACACAATCCAAATTCAGAGCTGTATCACGCTTGAATGTTGTGTCCATACTTGTCCCAACTGTTCAGGTTTTGATCTCTGCAGTCGTTTCAAGCTGTGCCCTGCAGATCATTTTATTACAGGTTGTTCTTATATTGTACTGTTTCACCAATACCCAGTTAATGGGGAGGGTTGAGCGCTCACAAACATGTTTATCCATGCCACATTCTTTACATGCCTACCCCAAGTAAGGGATCCCTGTGGTTCTTGTTGGTTGCTGCCTGTTATATTTGTTTTTTATACGACCGCAAAAATTTTTACGGTCGTATATTGGTATGATGTTGGTGTCGTCGTCGTTGTCGTCGTCGTCGTCCTGCATCGTCCGAAGACACACTGGTTTTCGCACTCTAACTTTAGTTAAAGTGAATGGATCTCTATGAAATTTTACCATAAGGTTCAATACCACAAAAGGAAGGTTGGGATTGATTTTGGGGGTTATGGTACCAACAGTTAAGGAATTAGGGGCCAAAAAGGGACCAAAAATAAGCATTTTTGTAACTTCCAGACATAACTTGTGTGTTAGTGTATGGATCTCTCTGACATTGTACCACAAGGTTCAATATCACAAAGGGAATGCTGGGATTGATTTTGGGGGTAATTGCCTCAAAATATTAGGAATAAGGGTCCAAAAAAGGGGCAAAAAACAAGCATTTTTCTAGTTTCATGACAATAACTTGTGTGAAAGTGTATGGATCTTTCTGAAATTGTACTACAAGGTTCCATATCACGAAGGGAAAGCTGGAATTGAGTTTGGGGGTAATTGCCTCCAAATTTTAGGAATTAGGGGCCAAAAAGGGGCAAAAAATAAGCATTTTTCTAGTTTCCAGACAATAACTTGTGTTCAAGTGTATGGATCTCTCTGAAATTGTACTGCAATGTTCCATATCACACAGGGAATGCTGGGATTGAGTTTGGGGGTAATTGCCTCAAAATTTTAGGAATTAGGGGCCAAAAAAGGGGCAAAAAACAAGCATTTTTCTAGTTTTATGACAATAACTTGTGTGTAAGTGTTTGGATATTTCTGAAATTGTACTACAAGGTTCCATATCACAAAGGGAAAGCTGGAATTGAGGTTGGGGGTAATTGCCTGAAACGTTTAGGAATTGGGGGCCAAAAAGGGGCCAAAAAACACATTTTTCTAGTTTCCAGACAATAACTTGTGTTCAAGTGTATGGATCTCTCTGAAATTGTACTGCAAGGTACTATACCACAAAGGGAAGGCTGGGATTGAGTTTGGGGGTGATGAATCATAAGGGGGTTCAAAAAATTTGAGGGGGGGGGGATTTTTTCTTTTTTTCCTTTTTTTTCTTTTTTTCCTTTTTTTTTTTTTTTTAATTTTCCATTTTAAGTTGGTTATTTCTGATTTATATTTAAAAGCAAATAATAATGATATGGTAGGAGATACACACCAAACAGGATGTGTAAATTATTATATAATAAGTATTGTGCAATAGCAAGAAATTTTCAATTGCACAGTATTGCACAATAGCAAGAAATCTTCAATTGCACAGTATTGCGCAATAGCAAGAAATCTTCAATTACACAGTATTGCGCAATAGCAAGAAATATCCAATAGCACAATATTGCCCAATAGCAAGAAATTGTCAATTGTGCAGTATTGCGCAATAGCAAGAAATATTCAATTGCACAGTATTGTGCAAAAGAAGATACTTCGTATAAATTGCTTATTTCTTGACCAATTTCAATGGGGTTTTATTCTTGAATTCTTGGGGTTGTTTAATATGCTGAATCTAACCGTGTATTAAGTTTTTGGATTTTGGGCTCCGTTATTAAATTGGTCCACATTGAGGTCCAAAGGGTCCAAAATTAAACATAGTTTGATTTCATCAAAAATTGAATTTTTGGGGTTCTTTGATATGCCGAATCTAACCGTGTATTTAAATTCTTAATTTTTGGTTCCGTTTTCAAATTGGTCTACATTTAGGTCCAAAGGGTCCAAAATTAAACTAAGTTTGATTTTAACAAAAATTGAATTCTTAGGGTTCTTTGATATGCTGAATCTAAACATGTGTTTAGATTTTTGATTATGGGCCCAGTTTTTAAGTTGGTCCAAATCAGGGTCCAAAATTAAACTTTGTTTGATTTCAACAAAAATTGAATATATGGGGTTCTTTGATATACTGAATCTAACCATGGTCCGGGTACACAGTTATCGTCCTTTGATTTTCGTTGTCCACGAATATAGTCCCTAGTGTGGACAGTGTGTTACTTGTTGATTTTTTTTATACCCCTTCCAAATTTATTTCTCCCATGTTTTATGACTCAAATAGTAAGTAGGGGGGTGAAATGACACTGTAAAAAAATTTGGGTCATGAATTTTAAAGTTAAGTAGTGATTTGGTCTAGCTGAAAAATGTTAAAAATTAGCACTTCGGAAGCTGTCAAAAGATTTGAAGACCCCCTTAACATGAAATTGTCCATACTTTGAGTTAGAGCCGATGAAGTTTTCTATAATTTTGATATAATTTGTCCCAAAAGTAGTACAACACACTGTAAAAATATTATTGAGAAAGCGCAGGTGAGATTTTTTTAATTTTCATTTATTGCCTAAAAGAAATGCACTACGAAATAACTGTGTACTCGGACCTAAGAGGTGAAATCAGGAAATATAGAATCTGTACTTTGGCAACTTCCCTGAATGATTTGATGGTGTCAATTTATCAAATAGCATAAAACTAAAGGATTTAAACTTTTTTTTGATAGAATTTCTGCAAAAATGACCAATTTTGGCATTTTATGGTCAAAATAAGCATTTCATAGCTTTTTCAATTTTGATGCATAAGTGGCATTCTGACTTTCTATCTGACAGGTTTTTATGTGTCAATATTTGTGTTTCTATGCTTCAATCCAGTTGTATTACTCATTTGTGAACTCTGAATCTACAGAAAAGAAGATTATCTCAGACAATATGTGCAAAATGTGTTGTATATATGATCCTCGTCTAACGCCCTGTTTGGATCAAGTTAAATGTGAGGAGCTTGTAACATAAAAGTTGAAGTCCATTATAAAGACCTCACTAAATTTGTATAAAAAGCACTTAACAATGTCTTTTGTACCTGTTTTATGTCACATAATATCTTTCTTTTCTTCTGTAGGATAGCAAGTGGTTCAAATATAAGCCTGTTGAGACTAAAATTGCATGCATGTTTTTCACTAAAAAGTGAAAAATCTTTGTATCAGACCATACTGTCTGCAAAAAAAGTTGAATGCAAGAGTCTTTTTGTGCTCAGATTTATTGTATCATGTCACCTGAGTATAGAAATGATAGAAAAGACACAAAATTTTATTTCCTATAGCTTCAATATGCATTTTTAAATGTAAATATGTGATACGGCCTAAATTGACCCTAAATTATTTTCAGTCTTACTTGGCCTAAGACCCTTTTAAACTAATGTGATATGTTATTTGTAAGTTTTCTTTCCATTTAAAGTACATTAAATACATATGTAAGGATTATTTATAACCAAAAAGCTTTACAAATTTAAAATTGCTGGAAAATATTACATCTTTATGTAAGGCCCTCCTTCATTGGAAAACCTCCATTTTTAGCCACAGGCTCATATAAATTTGACTTTTTAATAATTATGATAAGTCTGATAAATCAAATGAGTACTCTATTGCTTTTAATACATAATATATTATATATTAAGGCATTTCAAAAGTATTTTTTTGCAATATTTTAATTTTTTAAGCCCCAAATGTTGATAGTTGAAAATTTTCAATTTTAACGTCTAAATTTAACACGCAAAGTTGAATATAGAATTAGCCATATTGTCTATAATATACATCCTATTGCCATGAATCTTTGTAAGCAGTCTTGTAATTTAATAAGCTTTGGTCATACCACGTTTCATAAAGATTGGTCAACTTTTTCTACCCTAAGAGGTGAAATCAGGAAATATAGAATCTGTACTTTGGCAACTTCCCTGAATGATTTGATGGTGTCAATTTATCAAATAGCATAAAACTAAAGGATTTAAACTTTTTTTTGATAGAATTTCTGCAAAAATGACCAATTTTGGCATTTTATGGTCAAAATAAGCATTTCATAGCTTTTTCAATTTTGATGCATAAGTGGCATTCTGACTTTCTATCTGACAGGTTTTTATGTGTCAATATTTGTGTTTCTATGCTTCAATCCAGTTGTATTACTCATTTGTGAACTC